AAGCGACGTCGGGCAGTTAAAAGAAAATCATCAAAAAGTACCACAGAGAAAAAGAGCAAAAAACGAAGAAGAAAAAGAAAATTCGCGCTGCAGGAAAAAAAAACCAAAAAACCATCCACTAGGAACATCGAGTCAAGAAACGCGACATATTCGACATATTCTTTTAATTGAGATAGGAATTTGCGGCTGGAGAAAAAGCATGTCCTTCCTTCATACTCATACAAGCGAGTGTATAAAGAGTGACTCTATTTCTTCTCTTTGCCTCCTACGCAAATCAGCATTCGCAATGGATTTATTACAAATCCTTAACTTTGCTCGTTGAGCCTTCACATACGCGTAGAAAGCGAACACGAAAGAGAGCACATCAGTCGCACCCGCGTGGCAAAAGTAGGATCCTAACCTCTTATGAGACGCGGATATTCCCGATTACATGGACGATACGTTAAACTCATCAAATCCAAATATGGCGCTCAAGAGAGGCGCGCAATACATTCAAGGAATCGTGCGTTAGATCTCATAAGCCATCTTCATTGCAACGTTTTCAATCAAGATAAATTTTTAATTAACGGAGTGGAAGTTAGAATGAGACTCGTACGCTTGAAAGATTCATTTTGCCTTATGGAAGAGTAAAGCGATGTCAAGAAATACGTATTCTCGATGTCAGTTTACTCGTAAGAAAAGCAAAAATAAGCCCGGGTGTGCTACTCGCACACGTTAGAATACTGAGTAAAACTACCGCCAAGTATCCTCTTACGAGAGTTGAAGTTAAAACATTCACGATACACGTCGTGGGCGAATCGATAGACAATGCAATACTCAGACAGCTGCCGAAACGAATAATAGTCGGCTTTGTTGATAACAAGTTTAACGGCGATAGAAAATTGAACCCGTTTAATTTCAAAAATTACAGAATAAATTTCTTTTCGCTGTACGCCGATGGCATACAAATTCCCAGTAGACCGTTACAGCTAAATTTTTCAAAAGACGAGCCACTCTACGTTGAAGCTTATCACACATTATTTTCGGCATTCACTTATTGAACGAGGATAATTCTATAAGTAGAAACAATTACGGCAACGGCTACACTCTTTTCGCTTTCAATCTTACTCCAAATTTATCTGCTAATTACGCAGGACATTGGAATCTCGTGAAGCACGGAAGCTTACGATTAGAAGTGAGATTCGAAAAAGCTCTTTCCGTAACTAATTGTATCATTATATATTATAACTTAATTGTATCATTTATGCCGAATTTTATAACGTTTTAGAAATCGACTCCTCGCATCAAGTTATTGTTGACTTTTTCGGTTAGTTCTGTCTTTCAAGAAAAAATTATTTTCCCCTATTACACATTTTTTCTCATCTAATTGTACGCAAGATGACGAAAAAAGCTTCAGTCTTGCTCATGACACCGACGTCGATGTTCTGTGACGAAAAAAGAGTAGCGAAAATTCGAATATCATAATGGATATAGTCGTTAACATACAAGGTTTCCGCGATGCCGAAGAAAACTTTATTCCCAAAGAAGTCGCGGTTTTCGCGATTAATGCGACGATCATCGGACACTGGATTATGCCACCTTATCCATTTGACGATTTACCCGAGAGAATAAGACGAGAAAATAACTGGCTTACATGAAATTATCACGGAATCGAATGGTTCGACGGAGAAATTAATATTAAATACTTTACGATATAGCTGCGACATTACACGACACGCACATCTATAGCAGAGAACATGTTATCTGAGTAATCTACTCTTCAGAAACGTATATAATCTGGAAGAAATTTCTCCTTTCAAAAATTTATCAGATTTTGGAGAACGTGTACAACGCTGCACGGATTTCGAACTAGCATTGAATTACATTGCGCCTTACGCAACGCTTACAAATTGAAACGTTGGCTAACTATACGAAATAACAGCAATTCGAGCTACGATAGCCTGTTCTCAGAAAATTGGAGCAAGAATGATGTCGAGAGCGAAAAAACAGACAGCGGAAATTTTTCAACTCAATTTAAAAATCAGAAACACGATATATTTCGCAACATCGTGAAGCGTGAAGGAAAAATATCGTGACAGAAAAGGCAAACCAAAACGAGGACGAAAAAGCGGTAGTCGAGGAGAAAAAAAGATCTTCCAAATTTGACTTAATGCCTTATAGACATAAAACTAACCCTAGCGTATCGTAAATGTCGAGTATTGAGAACTCTACAAAGCATGTGCCGTCAAAAAAGATAAATTCTGAATTTATCCATTCATTTCCTCTCTCACGTTCACCTACGCCGAGAAATGAATTCGCTGAAAGTTTTAAACGCATTACACTATCTCAGTGTCCGACATGCAGAGGTCTATCCTGCCGACCGACTGCCAAGGGTGTGAACGAGGTCGACTGCCATTGTCACTAACACGGACGATCACGATCGACCTGGCCGATCGACATTGAATCGCCTTCTACATTGACGAATACGTAACAGGAATGTATTTCGATAGCTACAGCATGCCGCCCTTGGACTCAAGATTCCTCTTACGACTTCGCCGAAACTTCACTACATATCGCTGAAACACGACAACGCTTCAAAAAATATTTTCTCAAAATTGTGCAATACTGCTGTGTATTTCTATATTTTATGTGTAATGGTTATAATCTTAGCCAGTTTCTTAGTCTTTGTTACCTCTAATTCTAACGCAATGACCGAATAATCATTATTTCATAAAATTTTTCTTTATTGTAAACATAAATTCGTAAATTCACATGCTGTATGCCGTCATGTTTAATCGTGTACTCTTTAAAAAAAAAATTAAAATAATTATTTCATGTAATATCTCTTTTTTTTTTAAATAAATGACTTGTAAATTTCGACTATTTCTTCCTCTTAACCTCGCCCTCATTTACAATAAACACATTTTTTCTCGTATTTCAGGTTTAAATAATGTATATTAAATACTTAAAATTTAGAAAGTATTTAAAAAATATAACGCTCGAATCAACACATGGAAGACGTCGCATCAGTTGAACATGTTCATCCCTGTTTTACCTCCCCTTTCTTCCAAGTAAAAGTAAGAGTCTTCTAATCAAAAAAATTTTCATAAAGGATCCCATCATAAATACTAAAAAAACACTTTCACTTAGACATCGGAGATATAGGATCGTGCCAACAAAAGATGACCCTCAGAAAATTACCTGCTATTCATGTCCACTGTTCGTACCTTCCCCTTCCCCACGACAAAAAACGTTATGGTCCCGATCTCCCTGTTCACCTTTTTCCGGACTTCACTCTCCACTTTGCCGGATATCCTCTACCACTCCCTTCATCAATCACCTCGTAGGAAGTTATGGAGCGGGTCAATCAGATCTTTGTCAGCTATAGAGCGAATCAATAAGAACACTCCATTTAATTATCCTATTACTCATCCCTTCATCCACCAATCAGTGCCCTCCATCCTTCCAATCAGACCCGTCTAGGCCACGCCCATGTTGGTGGGGATGGCGTGGAGGGAGTTTGTTTTGGCTCAGGGGTGACAAAGAGGTGATTTGTTTTGACGTTAGGGTTGGCGTAGAGGAGAAATGTTTCGATGCGCCATACCTTCCCTATTACTACTGTGAGATCTGAGAGAGCGCACGCGTGAGCACCGCTTCCGTCGACAGCAAACGTACGAATCACTGTAAAATACTCATCTGAGTTAAATTATTTTTAGTATCTGACAACGATAAGCTGACGTCGTGTCTCTTACTCTCATATTCGTTTCTATCACTCTCACATCCGGTTTCACAACATCATGGAAAAATTAATCATGAATCGAGTCAACATTGGCCGATCTCTATTTTTAGGATCTCTACTCAGGTGTCTTAAAAACGTGAAAATAAATCTTGAAGTTTCAAAAACATGATTTTGCAGACAATTTCTTGCTCATAATATGTGCATCTTCGAACAGTCAATAAATAATCATAAAAAGTGATAAAAGGCAAGTGAACTACGAATATGCACATTGAATAAAAGCATTTAATGTGCCTTTTATCACTTTTTACGATTATTTATTCATCAATCTCGTCATTTTGTTTTATCCAAATTGTCTTTATTTATAAGTAGCATGACGTGTCATTTCTCACTTCTGACGACACGATTCACTATGGCTGTAGTAACTACTCAGGAGCTTTAAAAAAAAACTTTTTTACATTTTTAATGAAAAATTTAAATTAAAAAAAAAAATTAAAAAAAAAATAAAAATATTTTTAATGAATATTTCTTATTGAAAATATTTGAGTACTATCTTCAAAAAATTATGACGAACTAATCATTTTATGATGAATGAAATATGTTGTATTCAGATTCTTTAAAGGTGTGCAGCATTGTTTAAAAAATTAAAAACTAGATTTATA